TTAAAAATGTCTAATTTTGCGACAGTTTAAAATAAGTTACGTATTTCCTTTTTTTTCTCTCCAAAAGTAATGCAAGCAGCGTTTTCAAACTTGACAAGTTTTAAGGATATAGTGTGTTAATTAGGTATGTAAATTATTGTTGCTGTAGGGCAAACTTAATTTTTTATATATTGCCTCAACGTTCTCATATTGGCAAAAGTGTACTCCAGTGAAATTTGAATAATAAAAAAACCCCATCTTCGATTTTTCTTAAAATCTCGTAAATAGACAACCGGAGGCCATCATACAGTAATATAGAAAAACATGTTGCATTATTTTGTTTTTAGCGACAATATTCGTGGTACAAATCAGAGCTTTTCGAGAATGCGCTGATAAGTTGAGAAATCTAGAAATCGGAACGGGAAGGCGGCAATAAGCTTCAAACGCGAGTAAACGTGACCGCATTTGGTGAAGAAAGGCTGTTTTAGCAGATAGGAGTAACTATTTTGAACACGATATTCTACAATATCTGAATTCACTCTTGTACATAGAGCACTGAGACTTCTAATATGTGGTGCCTCTCCATTACTGACACACAGATGGAGCTGCTGTGATGGCCATGTGTTTGCCTTTTTATTGCCTGCATTGAACTTGAGCACTGCTTCTGCCACAGCTGCCTCCAACGTGAATAGCGAAGCATGTCACTCCTTTGGTGCCAGCGCCCATATCATTGAATGCATTCGTTGTTATTTTGGGTTTCCCCTCACTGGCATCGATGCAACAGCTTTCTGTCTGACAAGCGCTCATAAATGGGAAGTAAAGCTTGGCAGACATGTGGAGGCAGCTTTCGATGATGTTTAGGAATGGGCTTCCCCTTGGCCTTTGCCGCATTTTGTTTGCACCAGGAATTTGGACCAGGTGGGCACAGAGTGTGGTTTGCCACATCATCATTGGACGTGATGTGATGATAGGTGGCCATCACTGCTGTGTGCATAGCATCAACATCACCACTGTGTGTCTTCAGAGCCCGCCCATAGTAATTGGTGAGCTTGGAGATCAGGTCTCCTGTCAAGCGGCCCTTTCCCCAGAGACTCTCAAGGCCAGGACCTTTGTGTTTTGCAATCAAGTTGCGTAAAGCAGTGCCCATAGGCTTTTGGACATGATTAATGCAGCCCTCTATTTCCACTGACATATACCCATAAACCTTATCCTCTTGCAGCGCAAGGTAACTGCGGCTGTCCCCGTCGCAAAGCACCGTGGTGTAGTGCAGGTTGTGCCGCTCAAGTGACCTCCTGAAGAGGATGAGGGCAGCCTCAACCTCCATTTTCCCAGCCTTCTTGTCACTGTTTTTCTGACACTGGTGATGTTCCTTCCACGCTGCATAAGAAGGGTCACCTTCCTTTGGGCCTGACTCACATCCAGGACAAAAGTTGCTCAAAACAACGAAGTCAAGCACCAGCCCGCTGAACAATTCTATGATGGTGCCGAGACCGATATGCGACGAATGACCTGCGAGTCATCCATGACCCATCAAACGACACTGCGATGTTTCCTATGTGGCCTATATTAAGTTCGGCGTAAAGTTAACGAACCAACCGCACGCAGTCACTCGTCAAATTGCGTGCAGCACGATCGGTCGCGGGTGCCAATTTCGTCTTCACGTAGTGTTGCTACGTTTTTGTGTGAAGACCCCGACGGCTGATGCCCATCAACGAGAACACATCATTCAGCGCAGTCTGTCTGTTCCCCGTTGCCTGCATGGCATGCTCAGTGAAAATGTTCACAGCAAAAGGTTTCATGCATTCATCGCTACGTACATGCGGCGAGCTCCGCAACGACACAGTCTCCCCACAGGTCGAACACACAAAACGCAACTTTACGGCGAGTCCGAATTCCCGGTCATCGCGGACAATCTGCAGTTCTCTGTTGCATGCCTTGCTCTTTGCGAATGCCAACAAAGTGCTGTTCACTGTGTCCAAATCTATAATTGTGAATGTGGTTCCATCAGGCGGCGAAGCTGCTTTGTCGGCACCGTCAACGACGAATGCGCGTTTCCGCTTCGTCGCTGCAGCGGACGAGAACTCCGATAACTTATCTTCAGCTTTAGCTCGCTCCTCTTCTAAGTCAGATTGCTGCCGATAGATAGTATCTAGACGCACGTGACGGCTGCTCGAAGGCTCTGCGGCTGACGGACTTTGTGCTGGCTCCGTGACAACTGATGCGGTAGCTAGGCCTTCCGTGATAGCGTTGACGACTTCGCCATGGCACCCGGAGAGTGTAGCGTCTCGGGGGTTTTACTGTATCACAGAGCACTTCTTGAAATTTGCTACTAGCGTCCTTCGCAACTTTTTCGCACCAAACTTGTGCTGCGCCCGAAATTTGCGCTCAGGATTTGACATCGTGAAACTTCTCCGCTGACACTGAGGCAAAACGGCGCGCCTCAATACCCGGAGCAGACGAAGCCAGGAGCCTCCACCAAGAGAGAGGCAAGCTCAAGTCACGTGCGCGAAGTAGCGAATAGAAAAGTGCTCTGATACTTCTTTTTGCCGCTCATTTTACAAGCTGCCAATGGTTGAATTGGACCCATTCTGGCGGGAATTCGAAGGCGAAAGACGGCTCTCTCAAATGAGACCAAGCGGGCCGCGCTGGAACACATGGAAGAACAGGGGGACGTCACGGAAAATGTGCGATTTCAACGTCGGTTTCGGCTCAGATTTGGCTAGAAAGCACCGTATAAACGGTCTTAGCAGCTAAAATAATGACATTATAGGCATGAAATTCACGATATAAGTGCACTAGTGGCTGTAGATTTTAAAAACGCAATGAAAAGAAAAACGCGATTTTTACAACCCATGTCTTCCCTTCATTCGAACATACCGCGCTACGAAAACACTCTCAGCACCCTGCCCAATCCCCCCGCGGCACCTGTGACACCTCATCGCTGCCCATGAACGAAGTGAAAAAGAAAGAAAGGCTGCAGTGATATATTTACTCTCTCTCAAATGCCCATCTGCGATGCGCCCATGTCCCACGTCTTCCTTTTCCGTCCCTGCCACGTAAACACCCTCCTCTTTCCATCGTCGCACGCGAAGAGAGAGAGAGAAAAAAAAGCTGCCGCTGGGTTGAATGATTGTGTGGTAGAAGGAAAGGAAAAAGGCACTATCTTCTGCAGCCTTTGCCCCTTGAGGCAGCACGGCTCTGCACCTTGAGGGGGGGGGGGGGGGGGAGTTCTCTCAGGCGCCGATGCCACGCGGCCCCCTTTTCCCTTTCCGCCACGTAGCCCTTCTCCTTTCAAGGACGCGTGCGAAGAGAGCAAAAAAAAAAAAAAACCGTGGAATGTTGGTTTTCTCTGAAATCCCGATCTACTTTTTTCTGAGTGGAGATGCTCCTCCTTTCTCGTCACGTGCTGGCCATGCTGCGACTGCGTAGTGGAGAGCGGGAGGCTCTGCTACGCAGCAGTCGTTGTTGTCGTCGTTTCTAGAAAGTGTCGGATGCTGGAGAATGCTGAAGCTGAAGTAGAAATGCTTTGCAAGCTGCGTGCGAAATTGATTGACTCACTGCAACGTAAACGTGAGCAGACGCACATCACCAATTACTCCAATTATAATGGATGTCCTGTGATTTGTGAATAAATGCAAGTCTTCTTAAACTTCCCCCTCGCGTGTTAGCTCAATGCACATGCGCCACTGCATGGAGAGCCCTCCATTTATTTAGCTTTCATTAATTCGAACTTCTTTTAATTCGAACAAATTTTCGGGCCCCTTCGAGTTCGAAATATCGAGATTCGACTGTACTACACCGTGTTACTGTTCCCACATGTATCTGTGTTTTTTCCGTTTTTGCTTTAGATACAGGCAAAGAGCACTCGCAACTAATGTTTCATTAGTATGTCAAACACTACAATAGTTGTGTATACCAAAAATAATATTTTAACGTGAGAGCGTTAAAAAGCTCGTTTCACAGAAATTCTGACGTCGGCGTCACCATGAGTGACATTGGCTGTGAGTGAAAAACCATCATCTTGAGTGTGACTGAAAAATGCAGAAATATGCAAATAAAATGATGCAGCTTTTGCTGGTCCAGGCGAGGTTTAAACCAGACTGTCTGTGTGGCGAACAGGTGTTCTACCATGTGGCCCCGCATCTGCCTGAAAATGCAGTTAAAATAAATTCCTGTGCTTGGAAATGCAGGGAAAATAATTTTCACGCTATACAAACCCACACGTCCTGTATACAGGCTTCACAATACAATATGTAATATCAGATCAATATTGCGTGGCACAAGCGTGTGTTTCCATCAGACATTGAAACAAGTGATCATCATAACCACTTTGTGTTTTAAATCCAGCCACAAGAGGCGTACATCTTACTGTTCCCTTAAGATCACCAAGTGGCCAAACCGCATAGCAAGTTGTAAAACATTTCACACGCATAATTGCTCACTGTTTAAAGCATGCTACCCATTACACAGAATTCAGCCATATGCCAAAGCTTTACTGACACTTTATGAATGACAGTATTGTAATCCACAATTTAAAATTCTTGAGTAACATCATACAATGAGAAGCATGCACTAAGTGGCGTATGGACTATATCAAGTTTTACCCTTTTTATTTTTGCTGTATACGTCATTTCGTGAATACTTGAAAAACGTTCTTTATGAACCTTTTAAGAGAAAAATATATGTGTGACCACTACATCAGTAAACATGGCATTTGTCATGAAAATATAGCTTTTCTCAATATTTATTTCTGTGAGTAGAAAGACGTTCCTTGTATTGAAAAGTGTTGTAGCGAGAATCAAGTGTTGTCCCTGCCTATGATACATAGTTTGGGTGCTGGAGAAATCTCACCAGACTGAGATGGAACTCGCCAGAGACATGATCTTGTGTGCATTCCATCATAAAATATTCGTCCTCGTTTATTGTGACTGGTTTATGCTTGCACGTGCGTCCCCTGTTTGCAATGTTTATACAATACTCAAGCAATCGCATGTAGAAAAAATTGGGAAGGCACTATTCACCGCATGGAGTCGACACGGTATGGCTGCGCCAGTTGCACCACAATGGCCCCGTTGCCTAGCTGGTGGCAGGTGTAGCCCGAGTCCCAGTCGTACTTTGAGGTGTCACCGTTGATGAGCGCATTGCGGCTGCGGCTCACCCCTTCCACCACGTACGCCGAGCGTGCCACGGTGGCCACATTCTCATGGGGCACCACCAGGCCCTCCTCGAGCTCAGGAAGGGGCTCCTCCTCATCCTCTTCCGAGGCTATGTGCCTGCACTCCAGCGAGACCGCGTGGAAGACACGATTCACCGTGTTGTGTGTCCCCTGCACGACAGCACTGTCAATGAGGGATTGCTGTGCCAAGAGAACAGTTTGTCAGTTTGTACATACTGCAAACCCAATAAAAGGTTATCGCAGAAACGTGGTACAACACTGCAAAATACAAACATGAAGTGCAAACAATACAAGTCCCCTCCCTCACAAAATACAGCCAAACTCACAACAATCCCAAATATACATAGGTTGTAATGACCATGATTCAGAGCACTTATAATTTTCCCATGCTATTCATTGAAACTGCATCCACATAGAACAAACATTTTTGAAAGCGCCTTAATTTTACAATAAACTACCTTATGATGTACTCAGGATATTAGTAAGAGTGACAGTTTTTTAAGAGTGAGAGTTTTAAACGAAGAGTGAGAGTGAGTGTTTTAAACGAAGAAATAGTTAAAAGAAAAAAGGTCTGGGGTGTGGCCCCAGTGGTGACCAGCTATTTACGAAATCTATTTACAAAAATAATGACTAATAGAATTAAGGTGACGTTAGAGTTGAACCAAAGAAAGGACTAAGCAGGATTTTGCACAAGCTACTCCACAATAAACCATATTCATACTATCAATAAGGTAATAGAGGAATGCGCAAAATGCAATAACCCCTATACGTGGCCTTCATAGATTATCAGAAGGCATTTGACTCAGTCGAGACATCAGCAGTAATGCAGGCACTACCGAACCAGGGCATCGAAGGACCCTAGATAAACATACTGGAAGAAATCTACAATGGATCCACAATCTCCATAGTTCTCCATAAACAAAGCTACGGAATCCCAATACAGAGAAGTGTAAGGCAGGGAAACACAATCCCTCTACTGGTATTCATTGTATGTTTACAGGAGGTTTTCAGGACCCTAAATTGGGAGGAGTTAGGGATAAGAGTTATGTGGTGCAGGGGTTGAGCTGGGCCGCGACGCCGACGAAGACGAAGAACGAACAGCCGCAGCATGCCGACGCTGACAGCGGCAGCCACCCATGCCTTCGGCGCAGCGCGCCGATTGACGAACGTCCGCCTCCAAGAACAGCAAGTCACCAACTGATTTATTTACACATATATACATATAGTACATGACATTGCCACATGAGGCACCAAATGGTATTCGAAACAGAAACTAACTAAAAACGAAACAGCAGGACAGAAGTTAGTGGAGAGTATCTTAGTAACCTGCGATTCGCTGATGACATTGCCTTGTAGAGTAACTCAAGGGATGAATTATAGCTCATGAGTACTGAACTAAACGCGGAAAGCAAAAAAGTAGGTCTGAAAATTAATATGCAGAAAACTAAAGTAATGCGCAACAGCCTCGCCAGAAAACAGCACTTTGCGATAGGAGGAGAGATGCTGGAAGTTGTAAAACAATATGTCTACTTAGGACAGGTAGTAACCGCAGAGCCGAACTATGAGAGTGAAATAAGCAGGAAAATAACAATGAGGTAGATTACATTCCAGCATTCGGAAATCATGCATGGTAATCTGCCACTAACCCTCAATAGCAAGGTATATAATAGCTGCATCTTGCTAGTATTTACCTACGGAGCAGAAACCTGGAGGCTTACATAGAAGGTTTAGTTTAAAATTAAGGGCGACGCAGCGAGCGCTGGAAAAGAAAATGATAGGAGTAACCTTAAGAGCAGTTTTTCAGGGAACAAACCAGGGATAAGAATATCCTAGTTGAAATCAAGAAGAAGAAATGGACATGGGCAGGGCACGTAGCATGGGGGCAAGATAACCGCTGGTCATTAAGGGTAACTGGATGGATTCCCTGAGAAGGCAAACACATGAAGGGGAGACAGTAAGTTAAATAGGCCAACGAGATTAAATAGTTCGCAGGTATAATGTGGCAACGGAAAGCCGAAGTCCGGGTTGATTGGTGGATCCTAAGAGAGGCCTTTGCCCTGCTGTGGGCGTAGTCGGGCTGATGATGAAGAGTGACACCTAAGCACTTGTATAGCGATTCCGCATAGAGTGGTAATGAGCCAAGCCTGTATGTAAAGGAAAGGGGAGCTTTTCAGCGAGAGAAACAAAGATGTACGGTTTTATCAAAATTACGCTTCATATTCCATGTGTTACACCATTTGGAAATGTCCACAAGAGCAAAGTTAAGGTGGTGCTGATCGTTAGCTGAAGTAATTTCATAAAACAGCACGCAATCATCTGCAAACAATCTAATTTGAATACTAGGCTCAGCGACAGTAAATATATTGTTAACATACAGCAAATACAACAATGGTCCTAATACACTCTTTTAAGGAACTACGAAGCCAACAGAAAAATAGCCAGACTGCCACTCGTTGACTGCAAAAGACTTGAATCGATTGGTCAAATAACTCCTAATTAGGGGTGTGCAAATATTCAAAAGTTTCGAATATTCGTTGAATATTGCCTTTTTAACATTCATATTCCATTTATTAGCACATGTTCGAAAATTTCGAAGATTCGAACTAACTCAAATATTCGTTTGCACATGTCACTGTGAACAACTTAAGATTTTGGGAATTTGCGATAAAAGCCTCAGTAGATTATGCAGTTATTACTACGACTTCGGCGAGCGAGTGCGGTGATGCCTGCATGAAAATTCATGGGAGCTTGACGACAGCTACCGACGAATCCAGCGGCACGTCATCGCGAGAAACCTACCAACGATAACCATCTCAATCAATCTACCGTATATACTCGCGTAATGAATGCACTCGCATAATAAACGCACCCCCAGCTTCAGTCGCCAAAATTTAGATTTTTTATTTTCCCCTTGTAATAAACGCACCCCCTACATTCGTCTGCCGCAATCTTGCTAACCGCCATCTTGCGCCTCCTTGCCCCTCGGGCCTCTGTTATGCCGACCCTGTTATTATTATGCCGACCCTTCTCAGCCATATACCGGCTTGCTCCCTTCTCCTTTTGCCCGCTGCTGCACGCCCTATAGTTTTTCTTTATATTTGTGCACGACACAAACCTTGTTTTCGTTTGTTTTTATTATCTATATATCACAGCGGGGTTCACGAACGGTGTGAGTGCAGAGACAGCATAGCTGACAAGCACACAGCGAGCGAAGATCACGAAACTGTCCGCGCCAACCGACGGTCGCTCCCTGCAAATACAAAACTTTAGGACCCAACCACAACCACACAATTTTCTAACGACAATGACAGCATTTGCTGTCACTAGGCTGTCGCGAAGGGCCATTGATCACCATCGCGTATCAGGTTTCGAAAAATTGCTTGTCGCCCAGAAAAGATCGCGACTACTTCCGCAATGTGATCCCCAATTCCTTCGGCTGCATGCCAGGCGGCCGCTGTATTTCGTTGTTAGTCTTGTTATCGATAGTTTTTTTTTGTTGCTTTGGTGTTAGCTTGTTGCAATGTTGTTTGCTTGCTACCATGTCAATGGCATCGTCGCGGTCGTCATGCAAGGTTGCCACAAAGTTGGCAAAGTGCGTCGTGGCATGGTAGCGCACGCTTCTAGGCACCCCTCGAGATCACAGCAAATACTATTGTTGCGCTTAAACAATTGCAAGAAATGATAGCCGCAAAACGCTTTTATGGCTTGCATGGGCAGTGCAGGGACAGCTTGCAGAAGATAGCGCCTTCAACCACCGAAGATGAGTGAAGTGCTGCAAAGAAACTGAGCGACCTAACTTTTTTTTTTGCATTACTGCAGAGTTTATTGGAATAGTAATTATATGGAAAGTCTCGGCCGGTTTTTGCTGTTGGCGTCACCTCCATGCCCCGTATATGTAGACTTGCAATTCCCACGCGTACTTATTTTCCATGCGTATTTCGCCTCGTGGATGGGGGGGTTGGTGCTTGTGCACACGCGCTTATCCTTCGATGGGGAGAATCGCGCGCCTTGGCCTGTGCAAGCCAGCAGAACTTCTGCCAGACAAACCTACCAGATTGGATTTAGTGTCCGGGCGCACAAAGATCACTTCGCTCACTGGGCAGGCCCCGTTTGCGGAAAGAGTGCGCTTTTCAAATACAGCGAAGTAACAACTGGGAGACTCATTAATGCGCTCTCATATCTGTACCTGTGATTACGTTTCTTGCACTGTTTTTGTTTAAAACAGTGCGTTAAGCCTTGAGCTGTAAACGTTGTTAGTTAGCTCTCGTCCTGTGCATGTTGTTTTCGTGCGTCAGTGCGTGAGCAGCGCGCTGCACGTTTCGATCTGCTAGCCGTTTCAGCATTACATTCCAAGTTGTTGCTATCGCATTCATTCCTTCGCCCTTGCGATGAAACTATGACTTTTTTGCTCATACCAAAAAAGATTTCATAAAATTTCTGCCACATAATAAATGCACCCCCCAACTTTGCTCTGATTTTTCAAAAAAAATGGACGTTAATTATGCGGGTAAATACGGTAAATAAGGTACTGCCGGCCCGGCTTAGCGGCTCAGCGCTGTTACGGGTCATGTAAGTGTACCGACCCTGCCGTCCGCTGCCACACTCATGTTTGCAGGACTGCAAGCGCGTATCACTCATGGAAACGAAGACAAATCATCGCCGCCGCATTGGCTCGACAAAATAGTCTTCACACCTTTGCTCGGTCCTGTGTTGAGTGAGCACAAAAAAGAAAAAAAAATCTCTACGTAAGGGCAAAGGCACGCGTGTACGTTACAGGGCGCGACGCTGATGAAGTGAGCTTAGTAGGCAATGCACTGCACACAACTAGCTTGGGGCGCACTCAACTTGACGTACGATGGTAATGTGTTTCATGTATAGCCTCGCCACTTTTCGCTAATGAATCGCCATACGCACACATGTGATGATGAGTGGTTTTTAATAGCGCAAGGGCCAATTGATGGCCAAAGAGCGCCATTTCAAAAGACTGAATATATGAACAATGATATGATGCGTGGCTGTAAAGGGGCCTTAAAAGTCCTCGTGCTAACGCGGGTAAAAACATGGAAGTAATAAAATCATGACTGTGGCATGAGATATGTGTACTGAAAGTGGATGGCAAAATGTCATGATAATAAAACCATGTCGAAGAT